TGTTGGGTTTTTCTCTGTATCTATGAAGCGCCTTGAGGCGACTTTTGTTGTGATTTGGCGCTATATAAATAAAATTGAATTGAATTGAATTGAAAGATCTATCGCTTTATCACCTATTCAGGTTGTAAATTGTGTTTTTAAAAAGTAACTAAGTAACTAAGTAATTATTTACTTTTGAAAATAAGCAATCAGTAAAGTAACAGGATTACTTTTTTGGGAAAGTAATCAGTAATTAGTTACTGATTACTTTTTTCAAGTAACTTGACCAACACTGCTCGTGACTCCTGTACTGTACTTGAGTACTTTTGATAGGACAGTAACATCATCAGGTGGCTGGTGAAACGCCTGGGTTAGTTAGGTTGTATTTTAGCCACGTTAAACAACTGTTATTTGAAAAGAAAACTCTGGGAAATGTCGCTTTCTAAATGAAACCTTGCAGTTTTATATGATTTCCATCTTGAGAAAAACTGGATAGAAAGACCATATAAGGGCGTGTATGAGGACGTAGGCCCTAAACAGTTCACAAGTGACAAGATGTTACACAGGGAATACCAGTATAACCAGTTTCATTCTCTCAGCACCAGTTTGGCTCAGTCTGGTTCTTAATGACAAACTTATTGAGCTCTGAGCTGCAAACCTGAAGACCGCACGATGAAAAAACCTGCTGGCAATGTTGGAACTGAATCGTCCTTAAACTCAGTTGAACTGTCTCAACACACGTGTGAGCAGCCAGGCCGTCGTAAAGTCCAGATATGAACGTTTTTAAATCTTTGAGTCATCGTCTCTCCGGGACAGAAAGTCGAGGACGGCAGTGAGTGACCAAATTTTTGGCTGTGCCAGCGCCACAAAGTGTCCCGCCTGCAGGACCTGAGCTGCTGAGCCCTGCATGGGTAAACCTGCAGGAAGGAGCTGAGGATGGTTTTTCTGCAGGCAGAGATGATGCTATGATGCCTGTTTTCCTCATCAGTCTGCCTCATTTTACCTTTTTAATCCCAAAACTTAAGAGCAGAAACACTTTGCATATTTGTCTGTGTGCAGTCAGTGTGTGTGTGTGTGCAGATTTGCATCTATTCTCCAATGAGTTCGTGCCTGCAGCTTTACGTTCAGGAAAACCATCTGCTCTCTGTTACACACACACAGTTTCCACCTCACATTTTCACTCCCTGACGCTGGGATACGATTTTCCCTGGATGAGAAACAACAGAAATATTTCTCGAAGCTTCTCATCCTGCAGCTTTAGATATTTGTCAGGACCAGAACCAGGCTGGTGATGGATGTTCGAGGACGATACCGATACCAGCATTTAAGTTTCTGTTGGCAAAACCGCCGCTCTGCTCCTGTCTTCTTTCTGGGTTCAGCTTTAGTGAGGAAAACTTGAGGAAATTGAATAATTGATACTTTGCCAAGTCCCTTTTTATGCAGAAAAAGTAGATGAAGATGTTTTTCAGCAGTAATTTAATGGAAGTTATTATTTTTTCTGTCCAGAATGGACAGATCTTTGAAATCTAATCCTAAAATGGAAAATCCACAGATCTTCTTTTCCATTTTACTTCACAAATTCTTGTATCGCTTTATCCAAGTTAAACTTCTATCACTTAAAAAGTAATACTTGTCCTTTGATTTTCTCAGTCAATAAAAACCATGTGCCGTCCAAATATCCCATCACTAAGTCGTTTGTTACTTAAATGACATTTTTGATGTTTTTCATTTCTTTTAAAACATGAACTCGTCCTCTAAAAGCTGTATTTACTCTGTTATCTGTCTACTGTTAGCATTTGTTTGATGATCTGAAACACATCAGTGTGACAAATATGTACCTGCACCTGTTTCTGCACTCAGTGCTCTGCGTGTTGAATTTAACAGACTGGGTCAACAGGAAAACCATTTTCCTTTCATAGACAGATTTGTGGAAAGCGCTTCATTTATCACACATCACTACCACTGTGTAAGAATGCAGCTGTGAGTCACTCACTTTGACTAAATGTGAGGAGAAACCGGCCTGAGCCATCTGCAGACCGAACCCTCGACCCTGACTGCTGGTTCCTGCAAACCGGACAAACAACAAAGACGACTTAACTTTTCCCTCCAGACCCTCCAGTCCTCCTGTTACACTTTAATGAACATCATTAGATAATACTTTTCAGAGTTAATTGTGAAATGCTCGTTAGTACGATGGATTCCGCTTTTCTGTAAATACTACAGTTTAACAGGATAAATGTTAGCTGACCTTCCAGAGAGAAAATCCTCTCTCCCAGGGCGTCTACAATGTCCTTCAGCGCAGATTCATCTGTCACGTTGAAGAAGTGCATCTCATCGGGGTCACTGGCAATAAACTTGATTTCCTTTAGAAAGGCTTCGGGGTTGATTCCCCGGCGGTTGTAATAACCCAGAACCTGCAGGAGATGCAGAGGAAACAGGATGTTAGTCAGAGCTCCGTAAGTCCAGAGACAACCAATAGAAACAGAGCTCGATGGGTGGGGGTGGGGGGTCTGGGGCTAAGACTCACAGCGATGGCATACATGGTGATGTTGTCTCTCTCGCTGTCTGTGACGGCCTGCACCAGGTGAGGACTGTCATGTGATTCACCGTCTGTAATCACAATCATCACCTTCTGAGCTCCCGGCCGGCCGCCGCGCTGGAACGCCTCGGATCTGCACAGGAACATCGGATGAAGTTCAGAAGATTCAAAGCTCTGAACGCTTGTTCTGGCTAATCTTAGCTAGCTGCTTAATGTACCTGCTGGTGTAGCTTGGTTGCTAACATTATCTCTATCTAAGTCCTCTGTGAAGGCACTTTGTTAGTTTTCATCCAGAGCTTGCTTTGGACTTTTCTTGGTAGTCGTCTCAGAGAGACTCAAACATCTTTTGGAAATCCTTGGCCTTTAGCTACGAGGCCAAGAAAAAGAAACAGGAGCTACAGCCTCCAGGAGCTGATGGGGAAAGAAAAACTTGCTTTGGCTGAAAAATGCTGGAGATGCTTCATCTGTGGGTTCATGTTTGAGAACTTTTATACTCTGTCATATGGAAGTAATTAATGTTCTGACTGGTTTAATTTTGGTAGGTTTAGTAAATTATACACTAGGAAACTTTGGTTCAATCCATTTTCCCAACATGAGTAAATGACTGAAACTCTCAGGGTTGCTCAGAGTAGGTGGGTAATGGTATCAGACCAATAACTATTTAAGGGTAAGTTTGTGTGGGCCCAGCACATTTTTGTTTGGGGTCATAATTTGGTGTCGTACCGGGCCACGTTGATTCCCAATGCCGTCCTCGTTTCCTCACCACCTCTTTGGTCAATGCGCCTGGCAGCGTCCACTACGTCCTCCACCGTCTGATACTCATCCAGTGTGAACTCGTGGACAACCGAAGAGCCGTACTGAATGACTCCCACCTGCAGCCAAAACACAGCTCTGTCCACATGAACAATAAACCACTCATGCAGCACCTGTCACCTTCAAACTATGAACAGATGAACTCTCAGATCTAAGATCAGTGGTAACCCAACATTGTGGAGAAGGTCAAAATTGACTTTTTGGGGGGGAAATGTGAATAGTTTTGGTGTTCCCTGTTCCTGGACTGGAAAAACTTGGCATGACAATATAATTAAAACAAGAATTGCATATTCTGACTGTGTGGGGTTTAGAGCCGGGCACTGATGATGACTCAGACCTCAGAGGGTTAAAGGCACTACAGTCTTTGTGTGCAGATAGGGCAGGACGCTCACTTTATCTGGTTCTGATCAAGAGATAAACTAACCTGTGTCTGACCTGGTCCGATGTAGAACTTGTGCAGGATGTTTATGAGGAAGTCTTGAACTTCATACCAGGGGTAGATGGAGTTGGAACCATCCAGAACAATCACAATGTCCATGAACGTCTCACACCCTACAAGATTGTAAAAGAAAGTTAGAAACTGGATGGACAGATGGACGGATAGGTGGATGGAAGTGTGCTGATTACTCTGCAGGGCAGGTGCGATGGTGTTGGACAGCTTGAAGTTTCGGCCGACTCTGGAGCAGATCCCAGTGCTGTACAGGGAACTTCCACATTCATGAGACCAGAGCGGACCGCAGGTCTGAGGCAGCACAAGAGGAAGGAAGAAAATCAAAACTTAATGACTTGGTGTGACGTGCAGAAACACGTGAAATAAAACAAAACCAGTGACAACAGCAGAAGCTCTGCACGGTGTTTGTTCTGTTGGTGCTTTTTAGTGGCTCAGGAGGTAGAGCGGGTTGTCTACTAATCAGAAGGTTATGGGTTCGATCCTCAGCTGCTCTAGCCTGCATGTTCAAGTTTCCTTGACTGTAAATGTTAGGTGAAAAGCACTTTAGGGAAAGGTTGACTAAACTTGGAGTAAGAGAGTACTAAGTACTCAAAGTTCTATGTAAATATGAGTCGTTTACCATTTTTTGACCATTTTTACTACAAGTATGTTGTAAAATCTATAAGTGCTGAGCAGTTAAAACAATGGTGACTGTTTGTTTTCACTTCCCTCTGCTCTGTTCTTAAAGGCCTCTACCTTAGCTTTGATTCTGGCGGTGACTTTATCGTGATGAACTCTTTCGGTGGGACTCACCACAAAGCTGCTGTCTTTGGGGTTGGAGGTCAGCGTCATTCCCAGCCTCATCTTGTCCTTCCTCTCAGACACGTTGTTCAGAGTGAGTCTCCCTGATCACAGCCAGAGCAGATGCTTTGTGATTTTAAGTTGAATGTTTTAGTGTGTTTTCCTGTGAAAGTCCTGAATCTTCCTTCCTGTAGCAGTTCCTGCTGTCTGAAACATCTAACGGAAGCATTCCTACATGCAGCAGCATTTCCACTTTAAAGGGCCGACACAGCAGTGAGCCGGAGGTGGCAACAAACCGACATGAAACCTGAGGCCAAGGTGATGACACCATGGTGAAAATGTCTTCACCATGAGGTCCACGACCTTCCCCCTGCAGGTTTTACTCTGACCTCTGTGACAGTTTACACACCTGAGAGCACCTGATCATCAATATTCATGCACTGCTGCTCACCCAGGTTGAGTCGGCTGCAGTTTGCAGAGTTCTTGCTGTCCAGCGGGCATCGGTACACATCGCCAGTCTGCTTCTTCCCCGTGGACTCAAAGGGAGCTCCAACCAGCAACCTGCAACCACGCACACAGTTTGAATCACAAACTTTATTTATAATGCAAAAGTCACGAATTCTAGAAAAAGAGGGACTCGTCTTCGAGGCTCGAACGCCGTATCGGACTGGTTTTATATGGTTAGATGTCCAAAGCCGAGCTGTTGGAATGCTGCACGTACACTTTATAATACAGCTCACAAAGCTCATGACTTTTAAGTATTTGTGGGTAAATATAATGACCTTATAATTCTAAATAAAATATATTATTACACCCTTAGTTGCGAGCTGTATGTTACCAACTGAACTTAAGTGTGTGTAACCTGAAGCATTATGTCATTGTCTTTGTCCAGGCTCAAAGCAAAGAGGAGGGTTTGCTAGGACTAGCCCGAGCCTTCGGTTTCTGCACCATCACTCACAGCCTCCACTCCACTCAGAGCTACAACAGCCTACAGTGTGTGTCTGATATGAAAACGTTATGTTTTGTGGTCTGTTAATCCTTTCATTGGAGTGCTCTTGGTTGGGTTCTGGCCCAGTATGAGCTGCGTTTAAATCACAGACCTTCTTGGTATTTTTCTGCACGTACAGAAACCTTTTCACTTCCCCTGCTCAGAGGTCAGTCCTCGTGGCAGCGGTCATGTTAGACACAGATCCTGCTGCCACAGTTACACTCAGCAGGCGGGTCATTAGTGTTAACCGGCGTAAACGCCACCACATGTGGCCTCAGTGGCGGTTCTGGGAAGAGGGCTGACTCACATACCAGAGGAGCTGCTGCGGCAGAGCGCTAACCCTCAATCTGCTAAAGTGTCTCCTGTCCACATCAAACGGCGGAAAAGCAGCGCTGACAAACCACATCCCAGAACGCAGGCAGCCCGGGTTCACATCCTGCAGACAGGAGCACGCCTCCGAGCCTCTGACATCATCCCGCCGTGCTGATCACTTCCTGAGCAGGTGATGTTGTTTAGCTTTCGGTGAAACTTCAAACTGCACGGGCTCTTCTGCTGCTGCTTTACGGGACTCTTTGTCATTTAATTGATGATCTCTGGGATGTTTTCCCCGAAACCAACAGCTCGAAGGTGAAGCCTGATAAATCTGCCGGCGTAGACGCTGCTGGAGTTAAAAGTGGGGATCTTCTATCAGACAATTACAGTGTTGCAGACTTTCTGGAGTAATCCGATTACAAGTCAACCAAAGCTTTCCTCTCACAGGTTTGATTGCTTTTATGAGCTCTTCGTCTTTGTCTTCAGCCGCCCTGCTCACTTCTGTCTGCGGTGGAGTTTTGGAGCTTTGCTTTGGATCATTGTCATGTTGGAGAAAAGAAACAGGCTCTGGCCTGCACAAACATCCCGCCCAAGAGCCCAAGAGCGACTGTAGCTGCCTCCACCAGTGTGTGAATGTGAGAGTGAATGAATAATAATAATAAATTTATATAGCGCTTTTCAAGGCACCCAAAGCGCAGATCATTACATGAAGGAACCTTTTAAAAAAAACAAGCGCGTCCATGCTCACAGGTGTACACACGGGTGATCACACCCACAAACTACACCCTTTTTGGCTCCTACCTCAAAGCACACTGTGTTCTGTTGATCTTATGTGCTGCACAATAATGTTTAATATTTAGTATTTACTGTCATATTCCCATATATCATTGTGATGTTGTTTATTCTATTACTCTTGTTCTCTTCTGCTTGTTTTCTTTTTTCTTTCTCAGCAGGTGATCCAGGTGATTGATATATGCATTTTTTTTTCTTTTTTTTCTGCTCATTCTGTTGGTTTTTGTCTTTTGCCCTTCTCCCCCGTCCCTCTTCTCAGCTGTTTCTCTTTCCCTCTTTCTTTCTCCCCTTCTTTCCCCCAGTCAAGTCTGTCCCGTATTCAGTAAGTGAAAATAAAATAAACAATAAAAGGTGAATCAAATGGACCATTATGGCAAGGCTGGGATGGTCAGTTTGGTAAAGTAAATCCGTTGGGCATCTTTCTTTGCCTTTAGACAACAATTCTGATGGCAAAAGAGCCAAACGGGACAGGCAAAAAAAAAAAAAAAAAAAAAAAAGGCACCCAAAGCGCTTTACAATGCCACTATTCAGTCACTCTCACATTCACACACTGGTGGAAGCAGCTACAGGTGTAGCCACAGCTGCCCTGGGGCAGACTGACAGAAGCCAGGCTGCCATATCATCGGCCCCTCTGGCCAACACCAGTAGGCGGTAGGGTGAAGTGTCTTGCCCAAGGACACAACGACCAGGACAGAGAGCCCAGGGATCGAACCGGCAACCTTTCCGGTTACAGATACACTTCCCAACCCCCTGAGCCACGGTCGAATAGTGGAATTGTAAAGCGCTTTGGGTGCCTTGAAAAGCGCTATATCAATCCACTCCATTATTGTCTCAACCCTGCATGTGGACAGTTCACTCCTGTGGGTACCTGCTGCATTAAAATGTGACCTAACAGAATTGCGACCGACCCACGCTGAGCTTCGAGAGCGCTCCAGCTGAGCCGTCCACAGAGGAGAGGAACGCTCCGGGGCTCCTACAGCCTTTTCTCCCAAAATGACCGACCTCCAGCAGAGAAGGTGAAATGGTCAGCATTCAGGTCAGAGCAGCATCCCTGAGATCTATCCATACAACATCTGTTTGACAGAAAGTCTTTCCCATTTCTTTTATATTGGGCTGCCTGTAGATCAGGAAGCAGACCAGATGATCATCTGTTAGCCTGAAGGTTGACGGTTCGATCCCTGGCTGCTCCAGTCTGCACGCTAATGTGTTTGTGAAGCCCAGGGACTCCCGATGAGTCCATTGGAGTGTGAGTGTTAGATAGAAAGTACGCAGGTGTAGAGGAAGTGCTTGTGTGAATGAGACATGTAGCATAAAGCGTCCATTCACTATTTCAGTGGACCGCGTCCAGCTGCAGACAGCCACCCACTGAAAACATCTGGAGCTTCATGAAACCAAAATAATAATTGTCATTTCTATGAAAAGGAGTACTCTGACCTGAACCACAATCTTTTTATTAGCCTGAACAAACAGGACTTTAAACCTCATCAATGTACAGAGCAGGAATGAGAAAGACGACTGATCGCGGCTGAAACAGGAAGCAGGCGGCAGTCGCAGAGCCTGACGGTTTATTGGTACAAAGAATTCTCCCATGAACTCGGGAATATTGAGGATAACTGGGAAGACAGAAGGCGAGGATTATGCCTCTGTGCCGAGTGTCTGCTTAGAAGCCAAACACCTGAAATGCAGATATCACCATGCAGAAAAACAATCCTGCTGAATTACCGTGTCAGATCCCCTTTACAGCACGCACACGCACGCACGCACACACGGAGGCGAGCGGCGTGATGGGCTTCACAGAGGGAGGCTGGGGAATAACAAACCACAACACATAGTTTCCAGATCCGGCGCTCCGCCTCCAGATGCAGGAGAGACTGCTCGCAAGACAAATGCAAATACTTTCCACTTGTTTACCTGAGACTTCAAAAGGAAGAGCGATTCTGTAATCCTGGAGGATCGCGAGGTATGCGTCACGGCTGAAAGAGTTTCCAGATAACAAAAAAACTGTTGGACAATCTCACCTGCAACCGCAGACAGAGGCTGAGAGGAAAACAACAGCGTAACCGTCTGATAATTAACTAAGTGCTCACAGGTTTCTGCTGTTTCATTTTCTGCTTCTGATTCCCAGGTGACGAACAAACACTCGCTGACGCTGCCAAACGTTTCATTCTTTCCACTGATTCTGAACTTTATTTAAAAGATTTCAAACAGCAGCGCATCATGCCAAGATCTAAAGAACCAAAGTCAGCGACGTCATCAGTCTGAAAGGTTACAGGCTTTGGGAGTGCAGCGAACCACAGCGAGAGCCGTTATCCACACGTGGAGGAAAACTGGAACAGAGCTGAACCTTCACAGGAGCGGCTTCAACGGCTCGTCCAGGAGGCCGCAGAACAACATCGACTCTGCTCGGTTAAGGTCAGAGGTCATGATTCAACAATGAGAAAGAGACGGGGCAAAAATGACCTCCATGAGAGTTCAAGGCTCATCTCACATCTGCCAGAAAACATCTGGATGATCCCAGAGAGGGTTTGAGCCCCGTCACATCCGATGAGACGCCATCACGGCAGCAGCAGACACGGTGGTGGTCTGGGCTGCTCTGCTGCTCCAGGAGGATGTCCTCCCATCAGTTCATGCCATGAAGCTCAAGAGCACTCGGGCAGCAGGACAATGATCCAAATGAAGGTCTCAGAATCAGCTGTTCATCCTGGAAAAACCTCCAACATGTCTGAATTCAAACAATCCTCCAAAGATGAGTCGACCAAAGTTTCTCCACAGTGACGTGAAAGACTCACTGAAGGCATCACAAACGACCAGTTACCGGGTGTAGGGGCAGTTACTTTTGCACACAGGGCAGGAAGGTTTGATCACTTTGTTCCCTTAATGAATGAAATCATTGGTTTTGTGGTTTCCTTTGTCTAATATCAGATACTTTCCCACAGCTCCGTGCAGAGTTTTAGTCACCAAGACTTGATCAGTTTCTCAGTTTTCCTAATATCTCATTTTTATTCTGAAGCTTCTTCGTATTTTCATATTTCTTTCTAAAGTCGTCTTCTTTCATCCCACTTTAACACACCTCATCTCCTCTGAAGGCCCGCTGAGAGTCCACGAAGGCTGAAAATATAAAGATGAAGGATGGGAGAGCAGACTGAGCGGGGAGCCAAGGACAAACTGTACAGGAACGAGTGTTTGCACGAGAGTGACGACCTGCGTTATGAAATCTGGATTTTCAGCAGTAAGAACTATAAATAATGTCCACATGCTCTGCAGAGAAATGTTCCACGTTTCAGTCTCGTTGGTGGAAAATGTGTCATCCTAACATGATCTTGACATCTCGACATAATTCACGGCCACGCTGCAGAGGGAGGACGGAAACAGACGAGCGGCGTTCCAAGTCGAAGGTATTTCAGCTCCATGGCCCAGAACATACAAACCTGCTGCCTTCAGACGGGCCGCGGCCTCCAGTAAATCCCAGCACCCCGCCATTATCTTTCATCCTCAACCAGACACGCAGACGTGCAGACACCATCTATTCTGTCCTCACCTGGAGGAGATGTTCAGCTTGAGCTGAGCCTCCCCGAGGAGACGAGAACATTTTCCTAAAACTCTCTCCAGTTTTGAACGTGTTTGAAGCCTCGAGATGGAGCGCTTCGACATCGCCGGCCGGACACGACGAGCAAGAAACCGAGAGATGTAGCCCCGCCCTGAGTCCTCGCCTGCGTCAAAACGGACATCACGTTTAATTCAGGCCTGAAACTCACGAGGGAAGACTTCACTGAGCCCTGCAGGCTCATCTTCACATAAACCTCCTTCAGTCAGACTTTACAGGTGTCGCCCCCTGCTGGCTGTTACAGTAATGCAGGTTTAAGGCTTGGTTTTCACACCTGTAAGCTGCTGCCATCTTTTCACTTCAGTCTACACCTGACTGCACCTGTCAGCCGTGTGCCATCCTGCTAACGCCAGCGGGTTAAACTTTGCTGTAACCGTTGGACTCTCAGTGGAGTCTCGGAGCTACTTGGACCCTGAAACAGTTCATGAACAGGTGGATTAAAGTAAACCAAGGAATCTATAAGAACGGGTTCGGGACGCGACGCCGGGATTCTCACCACTGCTGTCCTCCCGCCTCGTGCTGCTGCACCGTGTACCCGAACTGAGCTTCTTTAGACCCAGCGAAGATCTTGAAGTTCTTCGTGTCAAAGTTGAAACAGAGCTGAAGATCTGAAAGACAGAAAAAGGTTTGTTTTTATTCACCACCCATTAAAACCAGTCCACAGTGAGTCCTGCAGCCACGTGAGCTGGGAACGGCCCAACAAAGTGAAAGCAGCTGTAACGCAGGCTGCTATCACTCTCAGAAGCTGTGCTATCAACCTAACATCATCAAGCTGCTGACGTAGACGGTATCTCTGCAGTCCAGACTTTATTCACATATCACCAAATTACAGCAACAATCACTTCAAGGTGCTTCATGTTGCAAGGAAAAACCCAACAATCATAAGCAGCACTCTGGAGACAGTGGGAAGGAAAAACTCCATCTTAACAGGAAGAAACCTCCGGCAGAAAATGGGAAATACTATTTTCACACTGCTAAAAATGACTTGTGCTGTACTTAAATTTACTTAATTTATCATTTGTGTTTCCTTTCCTGTAAAAACCTGACGCGTGTTCCTGCCTTTAAGTGTTTGCAGGTGAACATATAATACTTATATATATATATTATCATAATTATAATACACTGACATTCCTTTTAATCACAGGGGAATTCTGCCTTTAGTCGAGGGCCGTATCTTAAAGTGTTACGGAGCGTTTTATTGTTATTTTAGTTTCGTCTCCCTCTGTCGTCTCTATTTGTCATTTTGTCTTCCTGTTTTATTTTGGTAGTCTCTTCTCTTTGTGTGCCTTTTACTTCCTGATTGTGCCTGTTGCCTGCTCAGACCCCAGCGTGTACATACAGTTGGTCCTGTCCTGTTATTTTGATCTAATCCCATAACTCATCCATGTCGTGGTGGATCTGATGTCATCACTGGTTGGTTTTGTGTCTTTCCTCCTGCTCAGCTGACGTAATCAGCTCTCAGCTTTCTCACTGAGAGCGTTTCTGGTTACGGGATCATCTGATTGGCTGATATGTCATTCACCAGGTTTAAAATGCATACGGCATTCATTCACAACCTTTTGATCTCAGTGTGACATTTTGACCATTTGCTTTTTGTCCGTATGCTGCTGAAGTATTTCCGGTTTGCTTCTCCCAGCTGTGGCGCGATTGGAAAACTGGGCACGCTGCCGGGATCGTTGGCCAGCAGTGGTGATGAGTTTGGCTGCTGAGGACAAAAGTGAAAGACGCTGGAAGCCAGAAGAGTCGTGTTTGTTTGCTCGTGGCTCAGAGGTATCTGCCCCTGTTTGAGCTGGGCCAGGAATCCGGGCAGGGATCGATCCGGGTCTGACGGTCGCTGATGTGGACGATCCTCCTGACCTGTGGTCAGTGACAGGTTTTTCTATGTGCGTCTCATAATTGAAGGCAGATTAGAATCCAGATTGAGTATCAGCTGTGAGATTAGTTTTGTTCCTGTTTCCACAGAAATCTCCACTTTTTTTAGAACAGTTCAAAGACGGGAGCGTTTCATGATCGCTGCTCGACGAGCTGCCAAAGCCCATCTGTGCCGCTTCCTGTCCCTAGTTCTTCGCATGTCTGCAAACTGTGGTCAAAGCGAGCTGGCGGACCCGCAGAGCTCAAACATGACGATGTTCAGTCAGAGAGACGTCGGGTGGACGCTGGAGGAACGCTGCTTTGGTTGAACACAAACTGGGAAGATTTTGCTGTGTTATGTTGTGTGAGGAGCAACTGACAGCAGGACTGTCAGACTAATGAAGGACGTCATGAAACAACGGTGATGAACAGGTCCTGCTGAGTTTGTCAGGACTCAGCACCAAAACATGAGGAATTGGAAAAAGTTGGATTTGTGCATCCTGAGTTCATGAAGGTAAAAACTGTGTTGTTTCACCTGCCAACAAAAATCTGGATGATCTCTGAGTCTCCTGGGAAAATCTTCTGTGGACTGATGAGACAAAAGCTGAACTTTCTGAAAGGTTGATGAAGCGCCTTGAGGCAACTTTTGTTGTGATTTGGCGCTATATAAATAAAATTGAATTGAATTGAATTGATTCCCGTCACATCTGCATCAAACTAACAGCGTTTCATAAAGAGAACGTCACACGGTGGAGGTGTGATGGTCTGGGCTGCTCTGCTGCTTCAGGACGACTCGCTGTAAGTGAGGAAACCGTGAGTTCTGCTCTCTACCAGAAAACCCTGAAGGCAGCAGGACAATGATCAGAAACACAGCAGCATGTCCACCTCTGATTGGCTCAAACAACAAAATGATGTTTTGGAGCAGCCAGTATTAAATGAGCGTTCATGATGGAAAACCCTCCATTGGTCCGAATTCAAACAATCCTCCACAGTGACGTGAAAGACCCACTGAAGGCATCGCAACACTGGGCTGCAGTTCTCACTGCTGAGGCTGGAACAATGAGTTACCAGGTGTAGGGGGCAGTTACTTTTGCACACAGGGCAGGTAGGTTTGATCACTTAATGAATGAAATCGTCATTTAAAAAGTGCACTTTGAGTTTACTCTACAGATATCTCCAAAATACACGAACAGACCACGAGCTCCACAAACACGTCACCATCTTCGTCCGAGACGTTCTATCAGACTTTTGTCTGTTTTTAAATATCTTCAAAAACATCACTTTTTCCAGTTTGCTTCAAAGTTTCTGCTTACATAAGACGACACGTATCAAAGATCATGCTGATCATCATCCAGAGCAGGCCGAGCTGCTCCCAGAGCTGGCTGCGCCGTTAATACCTCTGCTTTCTTTAGTTATATAAAAGTTTTCTGTGTATCAGAAGAGTTTCAGGCTGTTCTGTGCCTGAAGCAGACAAAATCACAGCAGCACGCTGCATGTCTGTGGTTTCTGTAAAACGCCAAAACCAGCAGAAACACGAGAAGCTTTTCAACTTTCAGTTTGTTTGGTTACTGTGGCTGGAGGTGGGTGTAGAGCAGTGCTCCCTCTAAGCTGCGCACTGCTAGCACAGAAAATCTGCGATGCGCACAAAAAAATCGAACCTGCACTGAAATTAAAATTAAACTTTAACAATCCTGTTCTGCAGTGTGAGTCAGTGACTGGCTGCTCCCGTATGTGATCAGAACGATGCCGCCTTATCCCAAAGTCCAGCCAATGATGCGATTCACATTCGTGTATACGCAGCCAATCAGCGTCGCTGACAGGCTCTGACAGCGTCCTTATGTGCGGTGTTTTAGCAAAGCGGCTGATGTGGAGTGAAGCCACGTTAATGACAACGTGTCCAACCATTGGAGAAGTGAGCAGGACAGACGGAACAACTGACGGACAAAGTGTGGACTTTAAAGCAGTTTTTAAATTGTGTTGATCGGCCACGTAAAACCAGAGTTATGATAAAATATCTGCAATGTTTGTTTTTCTTCCTGAA